CAAAATTACTACTTATGGCTACGTTTAGTTGTTAGAGTCGGGAATTCGGGCGGGCCGGGCCTATTCGGGCTGCTCGAACCCGAACAGGCCCGACTCCTCGAAAAGCCCGAATAGCCAAGCCCGGCTCGAATTCCTTCGGGCTTCGGGCAGCCTGAATACCCAAATTTAATTTTTAAAATTATTTTTAATTATTTTTTTACTTTGAAATTAATTATTTTATTTTATAAAAAATATAAAATATATTTTTTTAATACTTAAATGATGTCTAGGACTCAAATATATGATATTTTAGTATAAAATGATCTAAAACTTAAAGAATTAATTAATATTTATTATATTATATATATTTTTTAAAAATATAATTTTTTTATTCGGGTATTTGGGCCAAGCCTGAACCCGATTTGGCTTGACCCGAATTTTTTCAGGCCTATTCGGGCCGACCCGAACATAAAAAAATACCTTTTTTTCTAAGCCCGGCCCTAAAATTTTTTGGGCTAATTCGGGCTAGCCCGTCGGGCTTAGCCCGAATTACCGGCTCTACTAGTTGTCTATTTTTTTCAATTTATCCATTCTAAGTCTATTACTATTCGATTACTACTTTACATTACTTCAACTGGTCTCATTTAACTTAAACACTGTTTTTACCCTTTTTCCTCCATAATTTAAGGCCAAATTGAGCTTACGAGTTCAAAGCTCTATCGTTAAGCTCTAAACCAATTAAAAAGTTTTAATTTAACTCCTGAGAACCTTTTTATTACTATTAGGTAAGAATCAAACCCCCTAAATTTCATCGATTCAATTTCTCTATAACTCATATTCAAAGAAATTTGGGTAGAATGGAAGGTAAGGGTTATACATAGCTTACCTAATAAATTACTAATCAGAAGCACCTTCTAATGATCTGAAATGGCTTGCCCTAGCACACTAGCCCTTTTCCTCTTCTTCTTTCATGTGTTTTCTGATTTCTATCTTTAAAGTTCACGCAAAATTCATGACTTATGGGGTCATTTTTTAGTCCATCAATATAAGCCGCACTTAAGGTAAGAATTCTCACCATATGCACTTACTCCGACCCGAAACGCTATCCTTCCAATCATATTTGTTCATATAACATCCTAACGAGTTAAACTATTAAGTAATCATCCAGATTTCTAATCCCACACTAATTATCACTTTACCCTAGATTAACAGCTAGTCATGGGATTAAGAAATTCAAAATGTTACACTTTTCTCTTTCCCTCACCCTTTCCTTGCTTGCACACACTACTCTTGCTGTGGATTCCCTTGCACAGTCTCCTTCTCTGGCCAAGGCCATGTCAAGCCTCTTCTCAAACTTGACTAGCGCTTAGCCTCAAAAGGCTTACTTGTCATATTCTGTACCTTAGAGAGCTAGGCTAAATAGACGAAGTAAGCTAGTAATATTTACGACGAGCCAAGTCCTCTCTCCCATTTAATTTCTCTCTCCTCCCTCCCTCCTTCTTCCCTTTCTCTCTCTCTTCCTCATCCTTATCCTCATCTAACTATAGCTCTTCCTTTAACCTCATCATCCTCCCTATGTTTCTTTACATCCTCTATTCTCCCATCTTTAAAGCAGTAGAAGCCCCTACTTTCCTTCGTGAAAAATGCACATGCACTGAAACTGTCACTCAAAACAACACCTTCTACTTCAACCTTAGAACAATCCTCAATTCCTTAGCTTCCTATGCTACCAACTACAATCATTCCTATGCGGGATGACGTCATTAAGCACTATAAGCTTCTCTTTGTAATTGCTATGTAGATCATTAGATGATATGGATGGATTTGGTGCAATCGCAGATGATAGTGCCAATGAAGCCAAGCCAATGTCATTGAAGAACATAAACATCAGTTGGTCATCATCAAGCTTGTCAAACCTAAGGTAGGCTCTAGTGCCACTGAGTCTTGACATTCCTTAAGGATTTCCATGTCGAGGTAGGCAATGGAATCACTCATAGACTACTGGTGAGGCTGGAGTTTTGAAGAGAAGTCTAGAATAGAGCCTTTTGAACTCATAGCTTACTGGGTACTTGGTTAGGGCGTGCATTAGCTTGACTTCAAGTTATAGGTTTGTTTCAGCATGATTCCTCAAAAGTCAATGATATATATATATATATATATATATAAGGGAGATGAGATGGATGATGAAGATAGGAGATAAGATGAGACTGAGGGTGTGAGGTATAAAAAATATAATAAAAAAATAAAGTAGGCCCTACTATTATATTTTATTATTTAAAAGAATAGGTCAAGTAAAAAGTAGGGTCCACTAACGAATTTTTTTGTCACATTAACATGAGGGGCATTGAGATATAGATTTTAAAAGTTAAGGGATGTAATTAACCCATAGTTGAGTTTAGAGTTATTAGTGAATTTTTGAGTACAGTTTAAGGATAAAAATGAATCTTAACTTTATATTCTTTAAAAAACTATTTGTAAGATTTTTTCGGGTCAATCAGGCCAAACTTGACCCAAACACTTTAGCATCAGGTTGGCTCGAACTACACATCAGGCAAGGCACTAGGCAAGGGTGATGCTTGGCCCAACCTTGCCCATGTGTAGCCTTAGTTTAGACACAACATCTCTAGCGTTAAGCTTCTAGCTTTTGATGAGAGAGTGTAAGAGGGAAGATAGATCAAGAGAGTAAGAGTTGTTAGGCTTAGGGTGTATGGAATGTGGAGGAAGGATAGTAAAGTGAAGATGATTTGGGAATGAAGATGAGGAGGTGAGAAAGTGGGTGTAGGCGTTGATAGCTTGGTCAAATGATGCTTTGATGATGAGGATGGTGATGGAAAGGTGTTCATGGTAGTTGACGAGAAGCTTAGTGAACTTGACAGTACACATGGGGTGACTCAGGCTAAGACAAGGCACGAAAACTAGCTGGGGGAGAGAGAGAAAGTAGAGGGGAGAGAGAGAAGGATTTTTTATATTATAAAAAATATAAAAATATATTAGTGGGACCTACTATGCAATATTTTATAATAAAAATATTTAAAAATTCAAATGTGGGCCCTATTAATGGAAAAAATGAATGGAGAAAATGGCAGGGTAATGGAAGAAAGAGTCATTAAGGTTGAGGGATATAAATGACATATAGTTGAATTTAAAGTTTTTAATGACCTTTCATGTACAGTTGAGGGGCAAAAATAACTTTAATCCATTGTAATTTAAAGTTTGATATTTTGTCTTAAATAGATCAGATTATGCAAGTGCACATATATCCTATTCATTTATCATCTTAGATACTTATCAAAATACCAATTCATTGAACCTATTTTTTTTAATATCCATTTATAGACCATATAATGAAGACTAAAAAGAATTATTTTTAGTTTAGCTTTAAAAAATAAATAAAAATAAAATGATTAAATATTAACACTGACATACCCCTTTCGTTAAATAATATAAGACATTTTTTTTATGTTGGATATTAATAAGATGTTAAAAATATAAGACATTTTAAGGCATTTTTAACTAAGTCACACCCTTAATAAGTTAGCTAATTATTTTTAAAATTACACACTCTTTCTACGTTTACTCCTTTTTTTATTGCATATATTATTTTATTGAAGACAATCTTGTTCGATACACGATTGAGCATTAAGTGTGGGCACATCTCTCAGTAAGGATTCAAACTATGCTCTCTTTAATATTGCCTCAATTAAAAAAATTATTAATTTCACCGCTAATTAAGAGTTTTTTAAGAAAAAAACTAATTAATTACACCTTAAAAGATTCAAATGTCTTATATTTTTAACATCTTATTCTCAAAACAAATTCTTTATATTTTTGAAGGGAATGAGTAATGAATTTTTAGTTTTTCAATATATAATTAATATGTTTTTTTAAAATATCCTTAATAAATAAATCTCTTTATTTTCAAACAAGATACTTTATTAACTAAAGGCAAATATAAAAAAATAGTGTAAGATTAAAGATGATTAGCTAACTTAAATATACTCCTCTAGTCCTATTTATAAGGTAGAGAGAGAATAAACAGTTTGATTATATTTTTACAAAACTTGTCAATTTTCAATATTTATTTTTATATTTTTTCACTTATTAAATGCCTTGAATAAAAATACTACTACTAAAATTTAAGAATATTTATTAGGGATAAATGTTAATTTTTAAGACAAAGTTAATGAGGTTTAAGTTTTTTTTAATTTTGATAAAATATGTTGAGAGTGACTTATAAATAAGACTAGAATATAATTCAATTAAAAATATTTTTTATTTTTAAATGAAAGAAGCAATTAAAAGAATTTATCATTTATTTCAATCTTATTTATAAGTCACTTCTAATTATTTTACGAAAATTAATAATATGTAATTAAGTTATCGATAGTGTCTATAAAGAAAGAAATTATCTAATTTACTCTTATTAAATGCATCATCCTTAAAAACACTCTATCTCTCAGTTAACTTTTTACTCTATATTTATCAAAAATTGTAAAAAAATAAAATAAAATTGGGAAAAAGTAATTAATAACATACAATTTTATACAAATTGATTTATAAAAATATTATTATTTTTTAAAAAAGTGATTTGTGAATAAAACTGAAAGAACATACTACTCCGTTTTTATCTATAAGAAAAACTATTACTTTTTACTTATTTTTTTATATAAAAAAATTAGATATTTTAATAAGTATTTATTATGCATTTTTTAAATCATTTTTTATAATTTACATTAAAGAAAAATAATTAATACATATTTTTATTAATTGATGTAGGGTATTTTAATTTAATTTTTTTATTTTTAAATATGATTATTATGGTTAATTAATTTTTTAAAATTATGTGATATAATTATTTATATATATATATAAATGAGGGGAGAACTAATCTGTCTACACGAGGCTTCGGATTTTGGAGGGAAGCTCCTCATCACCAGTGATTCCTCAGTCCTCACCAGCCACTGGAACAAGCAGAAAGTAGAAACTCTCCACGGGAATAGAAGACGTGAAGAACACGCGCTGTTCAGGGTGGTCGACAATAGCATGTAATTCATCGCCCCGCCAGGAGCTCAAAAAGCTTCTACTTCCCTCCTTTCTTTCCGCGAAGCAGCACGTGTCAACGCGTCATGCTGAGATGGTTCCATATACCACGTGGCTTATTATTACCGGTGGAACCAATTGCCGCAGGTACCATCCCAGCCGTCAAAGCATCCAATAGACCCCAAACGCTATTTCTGTCGGACTCGTGGAAGTTAAGAGAGAGAGACGTATACAGGAAGAGAGGGAGGGGGGGAGAGGGAGAGAGGAGAGAGAGGGGGCTCTGCTGCCACACAGGTAAGCTGCTTTTCCACAGGAATTTCACTGTAAATTACGATAAATTTGGGTTTTATTTAGCTATTTACTGATGTTATGAACTGCTGTTTCAATATTATTATGGTCTCCTCCCATTTTTTCCCTGTTCGCTTCGAACTGTGTGTGTTAGTTATACTGATGCATAACCGTAAGTTGGGTTTATTCTCGTTCTTGTTCTTCGTTGAGGGTTTTAACTTTTAATTCATCGATTGTCTTGACTTTTGCTTTTGATAACTTTTCCTCTTTTCGTTAATCTCTACCTCAGCCGTGACTTCTGGGTTTTGTGTTGCTGGGTTTTGTGTTGCTTTGTGTGATAGTTTTTATGGTTGACTTCCAATTTCGCCCGTTAACTTGAAAATTGTGTTTGTTAAAGAGCATGGGTTTTAGGTCGCTTTTCATGTTATGACGTAGATAGGCGTCTTCTGATGACTTTCAGTAGTTCTGTTTTGGGAGGGTCAACTGTTGTGGATGGATACTGAATACTGGATACTGTAAGTCTAGACAGTCCCTTTTTTAATATTTTGGGTTATCTTGAACAGATAGTTTTTGTTCGCTCTCTTGATGAACCTTAAGGGTGTATAGGTGTGGGGATTCCCCTTGTTTTCTTGCAAAATAATAATCGGGAATGTAAAATTCGTATGTTTGATTGAAGTTTTTGTTTCGTTTTGATATGTTTTCTATAATTGCTTGCGTTAACTATTGATTTCCTGGTTTCTTGGTAAAACCATGATTGCCAGGAAGTTGTTTTACTTCGTATAAAAACTTTCTTTTTTCCATTTAAAACTGCAACATGTTCAAGTAATTTGGTGCTCTCCTTTGTAGAGTAATGCTTCATTGTTTGAATATAATCTTCCATCATTCACTTAATGCGGGAATAGATAGTCCCTCAGGTCTCTTTGTCTTTCATTTATTGGAGCTTATTTGAAAGTTTCTTTAATCGATTCAGAAAATTATTAGATTGCTATTCTTTCCATGTTTTGTCTTGTTTTTGTTATATTACTTTTAATAGAAGTACACTCATCCTCTACTTCATACTGTCTAACTTTGATTTTGATGGCCATAATTACTGCATTTACATATAAATAAATGCTCACAACATTTTTTGATGCTGATGTAGAAATTTAACTTCTATTGGATGTGGCGATCTTTTGATGCATAATTTCTTTCTACATAGTATATGATTAATTTTTTGTCTACTTATCGTGCTCCAGCCTCTGCTGCTAGAATTGTTTATAGGGGTCTTGTTTCCCCACTGATGTGCCTAAGGCAAGTTTGCGTTACCCATCATAAACTCAGATCTAATGCCATCCCTAAAAATGAAGAGCAAAGTGAGCACAATCTGTTTAAAGGAAAGAAAGGATCTTCATGTCTCTCCAAAATCAAATGTAATTTCCAAAAAGTCGTGCTCTAAGATCACAATTTCTGCTCAAGTGGCTGAAACAGACACTGCTTTTCACGATTGCCAGGATGGTAAGCAGCTTAACTCATGAAAGGATCTCATTCAGTCGCTTTTGGAGATTAGTGCTTCCATGTCTGTTTATTCCCTTTTCATTTTGCTTTTGAGTTTGATATGCAAATTCACTTGAAAGCTTGAGATGATTTCAGATTTTTCATTTTTGTAAGCAATTGGTAACTTCTGTAGTTTATGATTTCAGAACTAGGAATTTGAAAGAAAAAAAATCTTGTGCGCTTCAGCACTTTGTATTTTACTTTATTCTTATTATGAGGGTAGAGTGTAGCTCTTCTAGAAAATAACAAATTCCAAGGCTCTCTGATTACAAACTTATTATTATTCCTCTTCCTTTGTAACACTTATCTCACAATATGTGATAGGTCTTTCAACAGTAGTCAACTATGTTTAAAAGTAGACTTTTAGAAATCTATATCATTTGCAGTTGATTTTTTGCTTGACATGATTTATTTGTGTTATATAACGGTGTTACTTTCTGTATATGTCATGGTCTGGCTTATTTTGAAGCATTGTATCAAAAATGTATATTGAGATTCCTATAGATGCTTATCATCGATAGTTTTTGTTCTTTTAGTTACATCAAAGACGGAGGTCTCCCAAAAGACATTGAAGGTGCTGTATCCCTTGACAACAAGGAGCATATGGATAAAGAAGATTCCAATCTCCATCCCCAGCAATCATTTTCTGCTGGTTCCCCTCCACTGGGAAGAATGGTAAAGTTTGATTGCATTGGCTTTAGATAGCATTTGTTTTTTGTAATTTTTTTTTTGGTTTGTATTTGACACCTTCATACTAGTTACTTTTGTGTTCGGGGTAATTTAAATCTGCCATATATAAGGATTTCTCTACTTTATATATTGACCCTTAATAAACATTGTGCGAAAGTCAGTGCATCTAGATAAACACTGGTCTTGGGGCATTCCTGTATGAAAATTTTCTAAAATAAATTAAAATTTTTTATAGTTTCTTACTATATATTTCTACTCAGCATTTACTGTTTATTATGTGTACTTTACTGTTATTTTTGGGAGGTAGGTGGATCTTTTGGTGCTTTGTTTTTTGTGTTCATTCTTTCCTTTACTATCTTGGTTTTTGCTATCAAAGGCTGTTATATCCTGTGTTAAGATACCACTTTGAGGCCTGCTTCTGTATTTATGTTGACAATATCTGACATCTGTGTTGGGTTTGTATCAGCAATATTTGTGGTAAAATGAAATTTTGTAATCAATATGTATTGTCTCTTATTCTCATTTTTGGTATGAATGTGCATTGGTTTTAATTCTTAATAGTGCATCTCAATCCATAATTTCATACTTTTATACATTCTTTATAAGATGCCTATCCATACTTTAATACTGGATCATTAGAAAATTGTTGCATCTGTATATTATATTGTTTCAGATGCCATACTTACTCTCATACTGCTGCATAGACTCTTAAGGATTGGGATTAAGTGCTTTTCAGTGCATTACTGACTGAATTATTTTTCTTGTCCCAGGAATCAAATGGCTTATGTACAGCAAACTTGGAAACGATTTTTTCTCCTGCTTTTGAGCCCATTGAAGCTCATTCTGAACGCTATGCTGACAATGATGCTGGTATAACTGATGTTACTGTACATAGAGCACAATTTTTTCCCATCCTTGATAAGATGCACCAGGAGTAGCCTGCTCTTTTATTTTTCTGCACAAACTCCTAAAGAGCTTGATTAATGATATGTTTTAAGAGTTGATGGTTTTAAAAAAAAATCTGTGATTATCTCCACTTGTCTTCCTACATTTTTTTTGAGCTCTACAAGAGTGAAACTCTTTTCATTTGACTGCGCCTTTGGTGAGGCTATTTTTATATTTTCAGCTGGAAGAAAATGCTTCCATATTTTGTGATTTTTCATTTATTAAAAATTGCAGAAATTATGAAGATGCATATATGACATTTTCACTCTTCTACTTATTTCTGCATGATAAAATATTTATCATATAGGATCTATCCCATGATAATTTATTTCTGCTGGAGTTCTATTTGTAGTTATGTCGTGCATCATATTACTGGTTTCCTGGGTCCTTTCTCATTTACTGCTATGAATTAGGACTATTGTTCATGAGATGTATGTTTGTTTTAATGGTGGCAGGGCCCTGTCTTGTTTTTTAACTACTAGGAATTAGGATCAATAATCAAGTACTGCATTTATTCTGCTCATTCACTTTAAGGAGATTGTATGTAGACCATGCTTAATAATCATGGGTGGTGCGGCAAATTAAACTTTCTTCAACTACTGTGAAAAATTTGAAAGCCATAATCCCCAAAAGTTTGGGTAGTCATCTGTGTGAAATGTAGATCATAAATGAGTAAAATCTTTCACTGGGATTCTTTTTTGGGAGAACTACAATTTAGGAACTTTTGGCAAAAAAATTCCAAATTAGGAACAATAAACCATGTAAATGTTGACAAAGTGCAAAGAGTGATTAATCAATTAACTATCTATTCACTTAATTAACCACTTCCCCAGTTAATTATTCCCAAAGTAGAAATATTTATTCCTCAAATTTCTAAATCATAACTCTCTTATCTTTTCTTCAGCAAAACCTATTTTTTAGCTACGTGTTAGCTTATCACTTGCTCAATATGGTGTCTAGTTACTTTTTTTTTTTTGCGTTGACTGTCTGAATGTTTTTATTCATTGCTTTTTTTTTTTTTTTTTTGGTGGCCGACGTTTTTATTCATTGCTTGAAAACTCCCATTCTCTAGTTGGGAGCATTGGTTATAGTGACATGAGAGGACTGGGAGCTGATGGGAATGAAGATGGAAGAATTGAATGTGTCTATGAAACGTGTGATGTGTCTGACTTCTGCATTTCTGACATGATCGTGACAAGCTTACCCATGGATGGAGATGCCTTTGCTGGAGATATCAGTGAGACTGGCTGCATATCTGATTATAAATCTGCTGAATCAACCATGTTTGATGCTGCTGACCAGTACATGGTCCTGCCTGCTCTAGAAGATGATGCTAAAATTGACAGTACTTCTAATATCAGATCATGTGAAGAAGCCATAATGGTTCAAGAAAATGTCAGCCTCTATTCAGCAATAGGGCAGATAAGATCCTGCAACCAGGGTTCTAATCTTATAATTGAGTCTGATAAGGCTGAGTGCTTTGATCCACAGTCGTTTATCAAGAATCTACCAGAACTCTCTGACATAGAATCAGATAATCAACTTGCTGTAACATCAAAGGCATCTCAGAGAAGAAAATCAGTAACCCTTGTTCTTGATCTAGATGGTAGGAAATTGAGCGTGTTTCTTTTGAATATTGATAATCTTATACTTTTTTAATATAGCATTTATTTAATTTAGATACCAATGAGGGTTGGAAAAGTAAATGAATCATTGCCATCAATGCTCTCCTATGGTCCATAGAGATGTTTAGGAGAGAAAAGAAAACAAAAATAAAAAGCTGGCCTCGATTAGGGGGATTTGGTCAGTAATAAATAGAGAATCAAGCATGTTGATTTAACTAAGAGTATATTTACCATTGATGCATCCTTTGAGTAATTTTGGCAAGTTATCATATAATAAAATTTTGGGAATGTGCATATTTTTTTTTCTCTTTCAAATCTTCTGATATAAGCAATGGTGCCGGCTAATGCAGAAAGTACACTTTTGCCTATAATATTTTTTTCACTCTCCCTCTCCTCAGTTTTATCCTCTTTATTGCCTCTATACATTCTTCAACAATGAGTAATGATATGAGGAAAGTGCATGAGGCCAATATGGGTTTGCTTATGTATACAAAATTAAATTCACAAGACGACTGAGTTAGTTGATGGTTCAGCATATTCATTAAAATCAGCTAGTTGATTGGGCTTAGTATTGTCTTTTTCTGGTAAACCCAATTTAAATTTGCTTGACAACTATGTGAGAGTTCAATCAGGTAATTGATGTGGCTTTTTAGATGATCTCTCTCACAATAACATTCATTTGTCACACACCGATTAATTCTTTCTGTCTTGATAATCATTTTTCTTTCTATGAAATTTTTACACTGGTAACTCCTATTCAATCTAGCCATTGTGCTTTCATACATGCAGAGACTCTTGTTCATTCTACGTTGGAACATTGTGATAATGCGGATTTCACTTTTCCTGTATTCTTCAATATGAAAGATTACACAGTATATGTAAGAAAGAGGCCATACCTCCACACTTTCTTGGAAAGGGTAGCAGAGATGTTTGAAGTAGTTATTTTTACTGCCAGTCAAAGCATTTATGCGAAACAACTACTTGATGTATTGGATCCTGATGGGAAACTTATTTCTCGCCGAATATACCGTGAATCTTGCATTTTTTCAGATGGTAATTACACAAAAGATCTGACGATATTAGGTGTTGATCTTGCAAAAGTTGCCATAGTTGATAATTCCCCTCAGGTACAGACAGAACCTCCTCCTCTCATTTGATGGTTCGCTTAACTTTTTCTTTTTATTAGTTTTGTTCTGTACTTTTAAGTGTTTTTAGTTTCTGCTGAAGCATTGAATTTTGTCCAGGGTGATTTCTTTTTCTTTCTTCCCTTTTGAATACTTCATTCTCTTTGAGAGTTGATAATTTTGTCAAAACTTGGGCCATGTCAGTCATTTTATTAAGTGACAAAGGATACGTTTACTAGGGGGTGTTTAATTGATGAAAAAAGGAACAAAAAACAGATGGCTGAGTTACACCAAATCTATTATGGCCCTCATTGATTAGTTTTTTTTTTTTTTTTTGGCGCCTTTGCATTTACATTAGGTGATTCTGAAAATTTCATGCTTAGCTTAAAGTTTGCTTGAGAGATTTATCTTGAGTAATCTACAAGAAAGCATTAGATGAGAACTAGCGTTTAACTTGTCCTAAGAGGAGGCTAATAGAACAAAGAAAATATATGCGATTCCTTCCATTTAGTCAAGAATAACCTTTTAACCTGGAATGCCATTGTCTAGCCTAGGAGTGGGAAGGGGAGAAATTATGTTCCGAATTATTAATTCTTGCTCTCCTGTCATAAATTACAGGTTTTCCGCTTGCAAGTGAATAATGGAATTCCAATAAAGAGTTGGTTTGATGATCCATCAGATTGTGCGCTGATGTCATTACTTCCCTTCCTAGAGATACTGGCTGATGCAGATGATGTCCGTCCAATTATTGCTGAGAAATTTGGTAACAAAGAATAAGGTTTCTTGCTGGAGCAAAATTTGCAGCCTCTCCTTTTTCTAATAATATTCCAATGAAAATTTGTCCTCTAATTAGAAGAAAAGGTATCCTTTCTGCTTTAGCTCTTGAGGTATTAACTATAATAAACTATCAGTTTTCTTATTGTTGAGTCCAAATGTGGTTCCGTTTTCCTCTCAGTTGACGGCTCCGTGGAGTGCTTTGTTTCTCTTAAAAGGTAGTTGTAGCATCTGTCTCTGATCTCTCTCTTAATCCCTAGTCCTTGTACAGTTGAAGTGTTTATTATTCTCTGAGGGTGTACATGAAACATTTTTAGATTATGGAATATACATGGTAAAGTTACATATTTTCGTTTTGGTTTCATATGGAAAAGGGCCTATTAAATTTCATGAGTGCTGGGTGGAAACGGAATTACTGATTTCTGCCTTGGATCATTGTTGCTAATAAACTATTTAAGTTTTTTCATTTTTTTTCTGTACATGTGCGACTAGGATTATGGTTAAAACAGTTTTGTGGACTTTAGGTGAAAAAGTGTAGCAAAGCAAGGCTGAAATTTAGTTCATAAAAAACTTCCAGAACATATTGTTTCAGGACACTAAGACGTTTGGCTAAGTTGAAGAGCCCAGAATAACCTCAAGTCTGAAATTTTAATTTCTAAACTTGACGAATGCATAGTAATTATTGAAAGGGGCCTCTTCATGAGTCTATTAGATGATAATTAGTCATCATGTGCGACTAAAACAGTGCAGGGAAATTTATGGACATAGTATGACACTTCAATATACTTGTGAGAGTAAGTGAATAATAAATAATATAAGAATGAGACTAATTATGATGAGGAATTGAGAATAATATCAAACAACTGAGGTTCAAGTTACATTTATTAATAATTGACGATAAATTCTATTAAATTAGCTGCGTAACATTCGTTCTACCCAACTGTGTCCACATTACAAAGTATATAGCTTACCTTCCTTGCTGTAACTATACATGCAAGAAATATTTAGTTTCAAACTATCATCTACATTTCCATTTATAGTATGAAAAATCTGAACTACTTGTTATCAAGGAACATCTATGTTCCGCTTTCAAATAGCTTTTAGATTGTATTAAATTTCCTACAAATATGGTTATTTACATGTTCAAGCTGCGGTGTATGTTTATTTGGAGTGTGAGTCCCATCTTGAGTTATAGATGTCTCTGTTTTTTGAGTTCAGTATGCCACTAGTGAGGGTTGTGCAATCATACAAGAAGGATGGGGAATTGATGATTTAGAAAACAAGCACTGGTATTTACAGGAGGGGACATGTTACAACTATAAAATCCATTCCTGCGCTTTTATATCGCATGCTTTCTCGAAAATTCTGAGCTTCAAAACTGAATCCAATCATTGAAAAGTTATTTGGTTATCAGAAAATATGTTCGATATGCCTAGGAAAGTAGTACCAATATGGATAAGCTTATTGGTTATGACACGATAAGATATGAGAGATGTAATAACTTTTAAAATTTTAAGATATAGGTACAACAAATATATATTCAACAAAGTAACACATGAAATGCTAACAGCATAATGGAAAATTGAAAGCATATATATTTTGAAAGTAAATATTTTAGTTTTAGAAAATTGAGTTCCAGAGAAATATTTCAGATGTAAAACAACTCTGTTCAAAACATGGTTCTGATAACAACATAACAAATTAAAAGTATACATTCCAACTCAAATTAAATGTCAATGTTCGTTTCCTTTTACATCGTTAAGATTCTTTGTAAGTTCTTATGCTGTTTTAGAGCATTTCAAAAATGTCCAATGCATTTTGAAAATGTCTCAAACATATCATACAGGAAAGACCTGCATCGTAGGTGTTAAAGTATGTTATGCATATTGGGGAATGTGGTAAGCGTATCACATTAGATACATATCTGATATGGGTTCGTCTTTTCAGCAGTATCTTCGTATCAACAAATTGTGTGCTTGATGTAGTTGGTAATTAGACAAAAAGCTGGACAACAAATTGTTTACTTAATGCAGTGATTTTCTGAATCGACTTCCAAAAAGCATTAACTTATTAAAGCAAAATGATTCTAGGAAAGAGTACATTTCGAGAAAGATTGCAACATATAGTTGAGAGGAATGGTAGATTAACCTTTTGTTTGAGAGTTGTTATAATATCTATCATCTTTTGCTGTAGATGGGATGACATAGTCAAATGGTCGAGGTTAACTCTAAAAAGCATCTTTTTTATTTTGCAAGATACTTATTCACCACTTAGTAGTCATGCATGATTATGCTCTACAATCTCTTTCTGATAGAATCAGATTGAATATTTCTTATCATGATGTGTTGTGGATGTTGTGACATGAGATGTATAAATTCTTGTTGTAATAAGGTTTGAGTTCATGGACTAATTTAAAATCAGTCATGCATCCGAGGGGCATTTCCTTTTCACTTTGGTCGAGGAATGCGTCCTATTTCAACCGGCAGAGTGGCACAAAGAGTCATTACTGAAGTTGGCTTGGTGAGATGACACCCGTCTCCTATTCTGTATTGACATCCAAGGAAACTATGTCAGCATTTGTGAGAAATGAATTTCCATTTATCATTCTTACACCTGTTCTCTTCTGCTTCCTTGGGTGATTTGAACTTTGTGGTTACCTTTGTTTTTGTTTTATAATTCTATTGTAAGAGTGCAATCTGATACTGGAATACTGGCATAAAAACATGTGAAAAATGAAGAACGTGCATGTTCAGAGGCTATTCATGTTGAATTTTACATCTGTAATGCTCAAACATATTGCCACTGAATGTCAAATAGATCATCAGACCAGTCATCATTAGTTTTGTTGTAAATTTGGGAACGAGTCAGCTTTGAGTTGGAAGTCGTCAAAACATTAAATTCAATTGCTTGTCAAGGCTTGAGAGGTAATAAACGTAGCTTGTTTTCCAATTGTTTGGTCTCACTTGCTTTTTTAGCCTTTCCTTAAAGATCATCCTATTTCAGTTCTGGTTATATATTTCTTACAGTGAATTCTAGGCTTCCAAATGTCCTAGTGACGCTGCTTTCCTTCTCTGGGTTTTCTCCACGTACTTGTTGACCTTGTTAACTAGGTTTATCTTGTCTGCTTTTTTCCGTGATACATGCCTGCGATTGGGTTTGTATGAATCAGGACTTTGTTGTAAGAGGCCAAAAGGAAGGTTCATATAGGTAGAAACAATGTTGTCACAAGCGCCTTAAAATATTTATGCATTTGACTGTGCTGCTATACGCTATAGTGGCAATTACCTTAATAGTCATTAAAGGTAGTGATCAGGACTGCCATTTGCTGGTGTTTACAAGAGAGATCAAATTTTGAGTGGATTTACTGGTTAGAAACAGGTTTGGTTCAATGGTTTAAAATTGAATAATCTACTCCCATATATGTAATAAAGGCTAGGCTGACAGTTGGAGGTTTAGAGAAAGCAATATCACCACTGAGATAGTATAGGCGTCAGAATTTTTTAAAAACATGATACCTCCTTCACCAGAATCTCCATACAACTCTTAGTTTTTGGGGCGAATCAGGGGGATTAAATTAACACGAAAGAAGTAAATGGATTGGTAAGTACCTAATTAGTTGTTCTTCAACACTATATGCTCTAGCCATCTAGCGTCCTTATGATGCCATTCCTTCTGGGATGCAACTGAGAAAGTTGTGTAGGGGATCATTTAAACTACTCAAACTCTCTTTTTCTTTAGATTCAAAATTGATGGATTTGATTTTTTTTCAATATCTGATTACCACTTATTTTATGATGTCTGCTATTAGCAGTCTGCGTATAATTTCATAATTTTGCATCCATTCTCTGCAGGTCTCTGAAGGAAAATTAATATAATATAACCTTAATGGCAATCTTTTAGGTACGTAAATTTTGTTTATATCTTACTGGTTAGAAGCTACGCATGTATAGTTATTATTGTCGCGGGACAGATTTTTAGTGCAATTTATTGATACTGATATTTTTCAGTTCAATGTTGTATGATTTGATGTTTTCAGAGGTTTGTTAATATTTTAAATTTTTATTAGAGAATCTAAACGAACATGTGAGAAAATTTTCCCAAGTTTTCTTCTTTTTCTTTTTCTTTTCCTTGCCAAGGTGGCGGGGGAGCCTTGTAAAATATAATCTAAGATGTTAAATTTGGTCATTTTATTGTCCTTTTGTTTATTGTTCAGGGGTAAATTGTCTTAAATGGATCTTCAAGGTTAATGAATTGTGTGATACCTATATTTCCTCTTTACTTCCATTGTCTTTTTCCTTCTCCTCTCTCTCTCTCTCTTAATGCTCCAATTCAGTCCCGTCTGTAAATCTAAATGATTTAGATTGTCCAACGGTGGAGTCTTGACCTTTATTTCATGCAATCAAGCACACAAGTAGCCTCCATGGTTTAATGAGAAAGCTCTAGCCATCCTTGATCAGATACACTTAATAGAATACTGATGAATAAAACACAGCAACACATTTTTAACAAACAAGATTCCAATAGAAATATTTTTTTCTTAAAAAAATAAAAAAGAAAAGATTTTTACATATATGACTTTCAAAGACAGCTCTTTGGGATGACATAACCGCGGGAAGTTCCAGCAGCATTTCTACAAGACGAGGTCGCTGTTCCATGATCATAAGTCAGCTTTATGTCGCGCAGTGTGATTTCTTCGCATGGATTACTTGCGCTGCAATCCAAGTTGATTGCCACTTCACTCCTCGATGTCCCCCTTATCTCTTCGTACCTTACTCTGCTTATCTTCACTCCTGAGTTCTGCTATTGCAATTATTTCACAATAAAATGATAGTTCAGAATCATTTGTGATGGCCTTTTACCTTTTAGAGTTACAAGAGTAGTTGTATCGATAGATGAGCTGCGGTGCTTAAGCTTTCAGAAGCTGCTTGAAGAAGCTAGTTATTGAAAGCAGATAAAATGGCGAGAAAATATATTTAATTTTTTTCGGGGGAGGGGAAATAAGCAAACCCAAGAAGTGTAAATAAAAACCAAAGATTTAGGTGCAAATGTTGAAGTATTGTTGCCAAGCCTTTTCATCGCTTGGATTTATGGCTATATGATTGGGTTAAGACTGAGCTTTATTGGCGCAACTAAGGGTAGCTTGTTCAAAGGCATTTTTGACATTTATATGAACTCAAACTCAAAACCATATATGTAAATGGTTAAAGTTTCTCATACTAAGATCAATGCTTGTTAGTTAATTGCTTGGATTTAAAAGTAAGGAAAACACAATCATTATCCCTTATAGTTTGATCGGGTTTTGATATTAGTTAGTCTTAATTTTTTTTAATGTTTTAAATTTTTATAATTTCAATAAAATTGGGTGATGTTTATTCTTCTTATTCCTAATGATGTTAAATTATAGGGACTAGAAGAATTAAAAACATTGGAAAAAAATTATAAAAATTAAAAGCAAAATTCGATAAAAAGATATAGAGAGCAATAATTGTATTTTCCTTTAAAAGTATTCAACTAGGGCAAGTTTTAATGATGTTCATGAGGGTAACGTTATAAAAATGTGAAGCAATATGCATTCAACTATTCATGTAGCATCTCTGGTCCTACATGATAATATGAATAAGGAGGGAGGAGGAGGAGAAAGGCTGACCTGATGATGATGGCAAGGGGCTCCAGGGCAGTACCTCTGATCAATAATTATGGGATTGAAGACACTGTGCATGATCAGGTTTCTGAAAACCATATCTCTGGTGAATCCATTGCTTGGTTGCGCTTTTGACTTTATTCTCACCCCATTATCTGTTTTTGTGAATGTCGAACTCGTCACTGTCACGTTCTCTACCCCTTCCTCCTTCTCATAGTTCCCCAGACTCCCTATGCTGTCACAACCAAACAAATGACCCTCAATTCAATTGGTTTTGAATTTGTCAGAATCTTTGGAAATTTTAGAAGCTATTTGATTAGATTTTAAATGTACCTAATGCCATGACCAGGGCCACAAGTGATGTGGTCTATCCAGAGATGGGCGGAGCCTTGGCTGATGGAAATACAGTCATCTCCGGTGGCGATGATGGCGTTGCTGATGGTGACTCCAGTCGAAAACTGAACGTTGATTCCGTCGGTGTTGGGGCTCCTGCTTGGTGCTCTTATCTTCACCTTCTCTATTATTACATTCTTGCAGTGATCAATGGCCATGTGCATTGTTTGGCTATTCACTGACTTTATTCCACTCACCACCACATTGCTTGACCAACTAAACGATATTGACTGCATTTTTATCACAGCACAGGTATCGTCACTTTCACCACTTCATAGTTCATAACAAACAAACACATGTATTAATTTTTTCTTAATCAATAAATGAGGCCTCCTATTTTCTACTGCATTAATCTCTTTTCAATTAGAAATTTCTATTATCAAAGCTTACTAAATAAGTATTATTTATCAAACCATATTCTATATCTATGCGTTATATTAAACTCTAATTAACGCATGCAATTCAGGCAGTGACTTACCCTCGCTCCTGGAGGACAGTTGTTGCGAGCTTTTCTGCAAGCCCAGTAAGAAGAGCCTCTTGCATCAATAGTGCCTACTCCATAGATAGAAAGACCATCAAGCTTTCTGAACAATATCCAATACCCAGAATTTCCCAATGACCAGGAATCTCCAGGAGCAACAATAGTGCCATCAATTCTGAACTTCACCTTCTTCTTGCATGGACCATGGAACGTCACTTGTTTCACCAAAAAGCTCCCTTGCGGCACATAAATTGTTGTTTCCTCTTCTGATTCACATGCCCGTGACCATGCCTTCAGAAACGGCGTTGTAGAGTCCGCCATGCCATTCGGTTCAGCCCCGAAACTCTCCACATTGATGTCTAAAGCAGATGAGCTCTGAAATAAGAGAAGGAAGGAGAAGAAGATCAAGAAGATAAAGGGATTTGAGTTAGTAGTTATGGCCATTATTGTGAAAAGGTTGAGCGGGAAAAGTGATGGAAATTAATTTCATTTGCTTGAGAAGAGAACTTGATCGTGGCTTGGAAAGACAGGTTTTTGGGCATATTTATTGGTTATCACATCACATGGTTTTATGTTCAAAATAAGTTAATTACATGTGAAGTTAATGAATCAGTTGCTTAAAGCGCTCTTGTATGTTGTCTGGTTCTTCAGCGTTGTAATTCATATGCATGCATGCATGCATGTGCCACTTTCTCAGCATCGTCATTCTCGTACGAATAGATATAATATATTTTTGGAGTAAATTATACGATTTTCTTCAAATTAAAATCATATACACACACACACACACATTATTTTTTAAAAGATTCGGAAAAATTTTCATAAAAATAAAAAGTAAGTTTCACTATTTTCTTAATTTTCAAGTTTCGTACAATTTTATGAAATTGTTCAATAATTATCTTTTTGATTTTTTTTAAAAAATATAATGAAGATATAGGGTTCTATAATTTTTAAACCTAAGAGATATTTATACACTTTTCAGATATATAATTTAGAGAGGTTTGTATTGATTTTGAAAATAGAAGAGAAATCTGTTTGATTTGGCAAAAATCCAGATGTTATATTAGAGTTTAATTAAAAAGAAAAGCTTTAACAGCAATAACTTATATTTGTCAAAATATAAAAATCTACTCAAATCTTCTATGCTATTGAAATATGAAAATCAAGTATTCCCCTGTGACGGTGTTCTATGATTTTTATTTATGCTAACTGTAACGTGGAAGCATTGATGGCAACATGGGATTTAAACTCGACTATCTGAAAAATCATTTCATTTAGAAATTAATAATAATAACAGATACTAAGTTGTCTACGAATTAATGGGACATAGAAATGTCCTCTCACCTGATTGTTGGTAGCAGTTTAATAAATTTAATGAAAAGTGTTCAAATTCTGTTAAAATAAATATTTGCATTTAATATGTGATTGTATCTTGAAATTTGCAAAAAAAAAAAAAAAAAGTAAAGCTGTGTACAATAAAAAAAAAAGTCATATATGCAGCGTTTGATTTATATAAACAAATGAGTTAATTTTTTTTTTAATATTTTTCTCGGTACAGCTGGCCAAAAAAATCGTGGAATAGTTTAATATCAAATGGATCCGTACCACTTTATTGACCTTTGGGTCCATAGTGCTGACGTCAGTGAGGTCGTATGACCGAAGTAAATCATTAAATTAAATTAAATTAAATTTTGTTCAATGACGTGACGTTATTAATTACTACAAAATATTCGTTGTAATTATTTAATTATGACCACAATTAGCAATTTCGACGTTCCTCTGGAACAATAAATATGAATAATGGTTGGTGACATGCGTTAACATGAATGTTGTCTTCAATAGCAAACAAATGTTGGGCCAATCCAATCTTGGGATCAAATTTAATTTTGGTGGTGGGTGATTAGTTAGTATTTTTATAAATACTTTTTAAATTTAATGACATGCCGATAAATCCTCGTAATCCTACTCATCTAAATTTTTCTATACCAAATGGATGTTTTCTTCAATAAATTTTATTTTCCAACGTTATTAACACTGTAGAAATTCCTAGCTACATGATTACCCCAAAACAATGTAGTATTAAAGAATTTTAAATAAAGATGTATCCTCATAAATCTGTCTTCAAAATATATATTCCTATAAGATACCAAACATTACAAATATAATAAAAATATAAGTATTTTTTGTGCTGGTAAAAAAAAAAGGGTTTTTTGGGATTTTCTAGTATTTTACACATGTTTTTAACAGATTTTTAATACCATATATTTATTGATTATTGATTTTTCTTTTTATTATTTACAAATGTTATTTTATTGGAAGTAATATTATTTAAAATATGATCATACTTTAAATGTAGGGAGGATTCAAATTTTGATTTGTTGCATTAGGGAGAATTAGTCCTTTTGACTAGGCCATATCTATTGATATTTTTATTTGGGGTAATTAGTTATTCTATACTTCAACTTTTAACTTAATCTTTCAAGTATAACTTATTAAGACTTAATCTCTCAAATTTGATCAATTTAAAAATTTCATTCTTATCATGAGAGAATTAAATTAGACATGCTTATGTGTCACAAACAATGCTTAGATGGCATCCTTGTCAGCCACACATCATATTTGCTTGCCAATGTATTAAAAAATAAAATCACAAAAAGTAAAAAAAAAAAGAAAAAGAAATTAAAAAGGAACAGAGACGGGTTCAGACTTTGGAGCATTTTGAACAAGCAAACGAAAATGGTAGACTATGAATGACAAAGCAGG